AGATGAGCATAGCAACTCATCAGCCAATGGGGCATGATACTGCAATAACAGGCCAGCACCACGGCAGCCAGCTATCCTGGGAAAACTCCTAAAGTCATTATAGGGTCTCTTTAAATTATATATTTATTTCTTGATTCTTGAATATTTTTACCAATCGCATCCTATTTAAGGGGATCCAATGAATTTCAATACTATTTTTACTTCACAACAAAAGCAGTCATGATTATTCCACAGTATACTACAAGAGCCTTTCTTTTCCACTGGAGTCAAAGATAGTGAAATGTCAAATTTAAAATAGCTCACAAACGGCTCAGATCAACGGAAAAACAACTATTCTTAGCTCAAAAGCATCTTTTTGTTACTATAATTATTCTGTGGCTGGAAAGACAGAGGTCTTTTATCTGTGAACAGCTTCCTGTAGGAAAATGTGAGTGATGATATTCATGGCGTTTGGAAAATAAAGACAAAGAATCTAACACAAGGCAGACGCTCCTTTGTGCCGTGGCACCGAAGGACATAATGAGCTAAAATTCAGGATGGATGTATGTGCGGCGTTTGTTCCAGCCGTTAGTTTAAGATCTGACTGCCCCAATGGGGTTTGGGACAATACATATTGTTAATATTATATGCTGAAAATCATAACATTAAATAGGCTACACATACACGTTATCGCCCTTTCAGATCGACTCTGCATGTGGCGTGCGTTTATCAATAGCCTCCAGCAGGACCATATACTGAACATGAGACTCCTGATGCTGCCAGATGTTCTTCATTAAACATTTCTGTTATTTAACAAATGTAGTATAGTATATGGGACTTGATGTTAAATAAAGATCAGAATGAAAAATGTTCTATGGTCTACTGATCCCCCTAATTTTCACATTAGGCTGGCTAATGGAAACATACCAGCAATGAATGAGTTATACTGCACGTGATGACAGAGCCTATATGTGCACTGTTAGCAGCCTCATCAGATATTTTCATGGGTCGTTCTCAAGTTCCAAAATCAACTTTCTAAGAAAAACTATTTACTTTGAATATAATTTACTGTAAAAGAAACTTATCATACACTACTGTATATAATGACTTATTAAACGCCATGCACTCAAGGGTGCATATGTACATGATCTCCAAACACACTGTGCCCTGCTAGACTAAAACCAGCACACTGCCCCAGGAAAGTTTTGTCAGTCATAGTCAGGGAACAGCAGGAATGAGGTTGCACCATAAAGCAAGAATATTTAGGACTTTGCCTGGACACAGTTTTGTCCTTGCCAAGCAAATTAAACTAGCCATGTCCTTGCCTGGAAAAGTTACAGGACTGCACTTCTCATCAACCAAGAGAGCCAGATGTGCAAGAAGGTCTGCTCCATCCACAGGATACACTTTTAATGAAGACACAGGAGTCCATCAGACACTCCAGCTCTGAGATACAGATGTTCACCATTATACTGCATGGATATCAGTCTTTATGTCCGTGTTAAATACTGTGTGTCTTTCCAGTTCCTTAATCTGTGCTGCACAAAATACATTTGCCTCTAAAGATTATCAAAGAACATGTTGACATTGGTCAGTGACATAGTTTCTTGGAATAATGGATGTAAAACAGAGCATCTTAAAAAGGAGATACTTTGATGTAACAACTTTAATTAAATTAAGTCAACTGTACTTGACATAAAGCATATTAAATCTACAAACTGCAATGTTTTCCAACAAGAAGATAAAGAGTGATTATCATTGGAAATAGAATAATTTCTTGGCTATCTCATTTTCCATTACACCAGTGGAAAAAGTGTCGGGCAGCTACGATAAACCCCTCGCCTCAACAACAGCCTGATTCTCTCTTTTTGAAGCGGAGGGGCAGCTGCAGACATGGACTATAAAAACCAAATTTGAGAATAGAAGCCTAACCGGCGTGTCAACAGCTCATGCCTTGGGTAACAGTTGGAGACCTCGACCCAGAGAGAGGTTCAAAAACAAAGTCAGTTGATGAATCAACAATGCCTTGCTGGTATTATTGAGTTAACATTACAGTTTTACTTCCAGGAGCTTAGGGAAGGAATCCGAGGCATGCCTTTGTGTTTCCCCCTTCTAGACAAAGTATCGCTGATTACTCTGGTGTTATGTCACTTTACTGCATACTGTCAAAAGACACATTACATGGTGAGGTAGCTACAGAAATGGGTTTTGCATGTGCTCTTCAGACATTGCACACTAGTCACTGTAACACAACATCTGTTCAAAGATATCTTTTCAACAGCCTCCCACCACAACCAATACATTTCCCCCGAATAATTATCTGTTACATTGTTTATGACTCAAAACACTCTACTTATCTCTCACTCAACACCACAAATATGCATCCGATAGTGTTTTTTCATTTATTAAAATGTTTGTGTTTTGTTTTTCTTTGCGGCAGTAAAACATACTATGATTAAATCCATCTTGGCATGTCAAAATCCCCATTTGATCAATGCTCAACTTTTTAACTATTATGTCCTTTTTCTTTCTTACAACCTGTCTTTATAGCAGATACAAAACTTAACAATGTAAACAAAATGCGTGGACTCCTCAGTGGACTCCTCATTTCATCCAGATGTGAAGGGACAAATGTCCATGACTACTTTAGCTTTTAAAACAGAACCCAAAGAGGCCAAATCATCATATTTAGTTAAAAGCAGAAGAACATGGTCTCTGTCACAGCTTTGTGCCATGAACAAATAAGAACCAACAAGTTGACCAATCAGCCGGCCCCTGCTAGGAAATACAAGTTTTCCTTTACACTGAGGGGAAAATGTACAAACAGTCCAGCAGCTTTTGCAGAAGCTGAACCCGCCAAAGAAACGGTGGTATTCTTACCCACAAGGAGTGAAATGTAACGCTAACTTCACTACGATGCCTATGGCGAAATATGCAAATCTTTAAGGCAAAATTAGCCCCTTTCTGTGCAAATGGATCCAATTGCAAACAGTTCACAAAGATCAGCGTAAACACATGCAATCACACCACTAAATGACCAATGCACCCTGTTGTGATAGAATGACCAAGAAAAGAAAAGAGATATGAGATGTCTGCTTCAACTACCTTCACAACATTTTTTTATTTATCGGCCATAGTATATAAGTCCAACACATACGAT